ATTTATGAAACTTGAAGTGGAGAGGGACTCAACTACCTCAATGTGAACTGCTCGAGTGACTAAACAGGTAAACATTACTGCCCAGCGTTTGTTCTCTAACACTCCACCTCTTGTACGGCGGATGCAGATGTTCCACGGTCCAAACACGTCTACTCCGACATGCGTGAAAGGAGGAGATTGGAAGAGACGATCAGCTGGAATGTCTGCCATTTTTTGTTGTTGTACATTTCCTCTTAACCTGCGGCAGGTTGTGCATTTGTTGAGAAGATTTGTAACCAACCTTTTTCCTCCAAGGATCCACAGTCCAGCAGACCTGATGGCTCCTTCAGTGATGTGTCTGCCTTGGTGCACAATCTGTTCATGGTAGAACTGAACCAGCAAAGCAGCAATGTGATGCTTCTTTGGAATCACGATAGGCTGGCTTTGTTCTTGAGTTATTTCCGCAGAAGTCACACGTCCTCCAACTCGCACCAGTCCTTCTTCGTCCAAAAACACATTGAGATTCTTCAGTGGACTGTGTTTTAGTATGTCCTCACCTTTGTTCAGAGTTCTCAATTCTTTTTCAAAGGTCTCACCTTGAACAGTTCGTACAATGACTAACTTTGCTTGAGTTAGAGCGTCCATCTTTGCTTCATTTGAATCAGTAGCTTTTGAGATAGATCTGGCCTTTTCAATGAGCTTGGCGATAGCTTGAGTGAGGCGTTTCCAACTGGAGAATCGCTCAAACCTGTGTGACCCGAGCGAATTTGCCACGGTTGTAGTTGCAAATGTAGAGACTTGTGGGCGGACTTCAATGTCTGTGGCAGGTTCAACAAGTTGAAAGTCGTTCGATTGCACAGGACACTCTCCATCACTTTCCCTGAAGAAGTCGGGACCAGTGAACCAATTGGTAGAACTCAGCAAGGAAGCTGGCACATGACGTGTTCCATGATCGGCAGGATTGATTTCCGTGCTCACAAAGTGCCACTGACTGGGTTCGGATGACTTTCTGATGCGAGCAACACGGTTGGCTACGTAGACATAGAACCTTCGGCTGCTGTTATTGATATAGCCTAAGACTACTCGGCTGTCAGTGTAGTATTTCACTTTGTGAATTTCAATGTCAAGTTCATTTAGCAACATATCTGCCAGCTCCACCGCCAGAACTGAAGCGCATAACTCCAAGCGAGGTACTGTGTGGACTTGTCTAGGAGCCAATTTGGACTTGCCCATGCAGAAGCCTACGTGGACGTGACCTTTGGTGTCTATGACACGAAGGTACGCAACTGATGAAATAGCTGATGTAGAAGCATCTGCAAAGACACACAACTCTCTTTGACAAGTAGATTGCAGTGACGTGTTCACATACTGTCTAGGAATTTGAAGTTTCTCAAGGTCTACAAGTGAATCTTTCCAAGATTTCCATTGTGCCTCTTTTTCTGCTGGCAATTGAGTGTCCCAGTCACAGTTCTCTGAGCACAATTCTCTGATGAGAGCTTTGCCTTGCATGATGATGGGGGCAGCAAACCCAAGAGGATCGTACAAGCTGTTAACAGCAGAAAGGATGCCTCTTCTTGTGAATGGCTTGTCTTCTCTTGATACGAGGAAGGTGAAACAGTCATTTTGCAAGTCCCAGTTAAGCCCTAAACTTCTCTGCAAGGGCAGGGGCTCTGCGCCAAGGTCAAGATTTTTCAATTCTTTTGCACGTTCCTCAGATGGAAATGCTTCCATTACGTCTGGGCTATTGGAGGCTATTTTGTGCAAACGAATGTTAGAGTCCGCCAGCATTTCTTTGGCGCTTCTCAGAGTTTGAATGGCGCTAACGTCTGAAGGAAAAGAAGCCAGTCCGTCATCGACGTAAAAGTTTTTAAGAACAAACTGTTTGGCCTCGTCATTGTACTCATCTTGTGTGGCCAGCGCGGCCCTCCGTAGACCATATATAGCTATGGCAGGAGACGGGCTATTTCCAAACACGTGTACAGTCATCCTGTACTCTCTGATTGCCTCTGTAGGATCGTTGCCTTCGTACCACAGGAAACGCACAAAGTCGCGGTGGTCCTCGCGAATGACAAAACAGTAGAACATTTGCTGTATGTCCGCAGTGATTGCCACAGGTTCTTTTCGGAAGCGCAAGAGGACCCCAATAAGTGTGTTGTTCATGTCTGGACCACTCAACAAAACATTGTTCAAAGACGTGTCTTTGTAAGTTGCACTAGAATCAAACACTACCCGTATCTGATCAGGTTTGCGTGGATGGTATACACCAAAAAACGGTAGGTACCAGCACTCTTGGTCTTTGGTGGATGGCAGGACGGGTTCTGCATGTCCTGACTCAAACATTTTCTCCATAAAGTTCAAGAAATGTTCTTTCATTTGGGGCTTTTTGTCAAGCACTCGACGCAGTGAGTTGAGACGTTTGACTGCTTGGTCTCGATTGTTGGGTAATCTGTGCCTGTTCGGTTTGAAGGGCAGTGGCGCCACCCAGCTGTTGGACTCGTCCATGAACATTTGTTCATCCATGATCTCCAAGAAGAGTTCATCCTCCACTGACATGGCAGGTTTGTCATCATGTGGGGTTCTCATGAACAATTTGTTGGTGAGACAGTCGTTTTCGTCTATGTCCATCAAACTGGACATGTTCCCAGCGTTAAATGGGCCGTCAGAGCTCAGAACCTTTTCTTTAACGTGGAATGAATTGGTGCAAGAGTCCAACAGAGATGTGCGTCCGTTGTTCAACACTGATGTGCGGTAAACACTAACTTTGCTAGGCACATGAGCACCCCCAAGGCAGACATCACCTATTATGACCCAGCCCAGGTCGAGGCGCTGGGCGTACGGAGCATCGTGGGGGCCGTTGTAATGTTCTCTGACCTTGTGCACTCTTGGTATGTCCCGACCGAGGAGGACCAGTATTGAAGCATTAGGGTCCAAATCAGGAATCTTGGCTGCCAAATGCTTGAGGTGAGTGTGGTGTCTTGCAGCCTCCGGTGTCGGGATCTCAGATCGATCATCTGGGAGCATGTTGCACTCGATTAATGTGGGCAGCCGGACGCTAGTGTTGCCGTCAAGAGACTCCAGTATGAACCCGTCAGCTTGGCGTGCCCTTGTCTCTCCTACGCCTGAACAGGTCTTCAGAGTGTAAATTTTGGTGCCTGTGTTAACGTTAAAGATCTCAAAGAATTCTGTCTTTGCCAAAGACCTATTGCTTTGCTCGTCTAACACAACATAGGCTTTCACTGCCTTTTCCTTGTGCCCAGCAGGATAAATGTTTACTAGACAGATTTTGGAGCATGAGCGTGAGCTGATACCTTTTTCACATACCTCTGTACATTTGGACACAATGGCGCGCATAGGACTTTCTGCTTGCTCCCCGTCATGCACGTTAGGAGCTTCAGAGCCTGGAGTTTCCGTTTTCCAGGGTGCTGGTCCAGGGTGCAGTGCGGTGACGTGTTGGTCACTTTTGCACTCATTGCAATGTACACTTGAGTCGCAATCTTTTGCCATGTGGTTGACGGAGGAACAGCACTTGTAACAAATGGCCAATTCTTTCAGAATGACTTTCCTCTGATCCAAAGTCTTTGCTCTGAAACCACGACACTTGCGAAGGGAGTGTGGTTTGTTGTGGAGCGGGCACAGTTTATCCGGATCAACCACCTTTTGGTCAGAGGATTCACGATTGCCTTTTGGAGCAAGTATTTCAGTTTTTCGAACAGATACTGCAGTTTTGAAATTGGGCTTGTTCATTCTTTCAGGCCTATAAACACTTGGACCACCAGTAGAAAGCAAGGGAGCAAAGCTTGGGTCATTTAAAGTTTTAGCTTTGTCGCACACAAACTTCACGAAAACAGGAAATGGCGGGTATGAAGCATGGTGTTGCTCTTTATAGTAGGATGCTGTGGTGATCCATTTTTCTTGGAGGTGAAATGGAAGTTTCTGAACAATGGGTGTGATGCCCCGGGACGTGTCTAGGTAACTCAGGCCATGCAGGAGTCCACCTACCCGGGCAGCATCAAGCTCTGAGATGAGATCACCTAGCTCCCTTAACTTGCAGTTTTCTCTGTTTGCGATTTTGGGAAAATCTTCCAACTTTTTCAGGAGAGCATTCTCTATCGCTTCAGGGGACCCATAGCTGTCCTCCAGTCTTTGCCATACCATTTTGACACCAGCTGTGGCATCGTAGGTGTGTACAGCCCTTAATCGTTTCGCTTGCTCTGATGATTTGGGGCCTAACCACTTGCAGAGGAGATCTAACTCCTCTCTTGGGGATAAATAGAGACCTACTGTAGCGTTCAAAAAGGATGCCTTCCAAGCCCAATAATTTTCAGGCTTATCATCAAACGTCAGGAGCCCTGAGCTGACCAACTCTCTGCGCACCAAATATTTGGCTAAGTCCGATGTGGCTGGGGAATTGGACTCGTTTGCACTGGCTACAGGGCATGGTGACGACAGTCCAGGCTGAAAAGGGACTGACTGGCTCATAAAACGTGGCTGAAATCTGTGGTCGGTAGTAACTGGGGTAGGATACTGTGAGTGAGATGAGAAAAAGGCATTTTTTAACGAGCTTTGGGCATAAGAACGATCTGCTCCACTGGTAATGTCATACTGTGGGGAATGCGCCACTGGTAGCTCTTGAAACCCATATTCACTAATCTCACTGTTTTGTATACTATGCTCTTTGTCTTTATTTTGCACGAAATCACCACTGTATTTTACTCGCTGAGCTGTAGGAAGCCCTAGTGTGGTAGCTTGTGCGGAGTCAAAGCGAGTATTAGCCGGTGGAGGTGGAACTGGTATTACCTCGACGACGTTCTCGCTGTGTTTTGGAAACCAGGTATCTCCACCTTCCTCCCCGGCTGCTGCCTCTAGCACCTCTGCTTCGGCGTTGGCGGCTGCAGCTGCACTCTGTAGACGCAGTTTGAGGAGGTCAGCGCTGAGCTCTGCTTTCTTCTTTGTAGCCTCAGCCTCGATGTGGGCCTTTTCTTTTATCACCTCTGCTTCTCTTTCAGCGTATGATGCCTGTGCTTGAGCGGCAGCTGCTTTAGCACGTGCTTTAGCAGCCAAAACGCTTGCATTAGACCACTGACTGGCGCGTGACCGCTGACTGGCGCGTGACTGCTGGCTGGCACGTGAAGTTTCGGAACAGTTCGATCTCGTTTCCCACAGGTCACCAACGTTGCTGACTGAACTTTGGCGATCAGGGACAGCAGTGTTGTCTTCCGTGTCGACTTTGGCTGACTTTCCATGCTGTCTTTTTACTATTCTGCCTTCACTAGTGTGCATGAACTAGCTTTACAGATAGCTAACAGTTTCCAATAAAGAACCAGAAGCTTCTTGCTGTTTTGTGGTGTTTTACTGAAAGGACTGTAAAACTGTAACATACAAAAACAAAGAGCAGCATATTACAATCTCAATATGAAGAATATACAATACAAAACTAAATAAGTAGTCTAGAAATAACTAAAACCTTCAAATCACGATCGCATAGCAAGCAAATAACACAATGCTAATTTACATAGAAAATGCCATAGAGAAACTAACGCTACTAGCGTCACATATTTCCTTACAAATTACGAATAGAAAACATTCTAAAATGACTAAATAGGATATCAAAAGGAAGCTAAGATCTCTATGAAACAAATACTTACAGACAGATATTCGTCAGAGACCAAAATGATAGTTTATAAACTTTAACACTCCGGAGTTTGACTTGCAGTGAGAATGTTATGAGACCGACTGAGCTACGGAAACTCTGCGTGGACAAAACACAAGAGACTCAAAACTCAAATACCTCTTCTCACAAGGGGGCAGTACAATAGTATTTGATTCTCTCGATAAATAAACCGACAAGTAAATAAATTGAAAACCATATGCCTGCTGGCGTCCATGCATTTCCAACGTCCAAACACAAAACACTGTTCAACCAGAATCCTCCTTTGTCTACCTTAATGCCACTAATTCTTCTTCTTCTTGTATTTCCGGCAGGCTAGACGCATCAATGGCGTATTGCTGCCCTCCTCTGTTCTCAAATCGCTATTTACAACTTAATTAATACTGCTTGTCTATATCCTTTTATATACTCCAATATTTCGCAGATACTCCATCAATTTTTTCAATTTGTTCCAACTGTCCAAATTCAATATCATCAAGGCCTTTTACAGCGCAAGCGCCGATCTGAACGGTGTCTAGCATGCCGTCTTTCTGTGCAAAAGCTGGTGTAAGCATGGCAGGACAGAGTTGTGCCTTCTGTCAGCGCAGACCGCCAAGCTGCCCGGTCTTCCGCAAGGTGATGCCATTGGTCAGGGTTGATGTGAAAGACATTCATGTCCCGCTTGACGACATCCTTAAAGCGGAGCTTGGGTCGGCCACGAGGGCGGTGTCCCACAGCTAACTCACCATGGAAGATGGACTTTGGGAGACGTTCATCTGGCATACGACGTACATGGCCGATCCATCTGAGTCGCCTCCTCCGGAACATGGTGTACATGTCACTGCTGTTAGTGAGCTTCAGCACGGTGGTGTTCGGGACCCGATCCTGCCATGACAGGCCAAGGATCTGTCGTAGGCAACGGAAGTGAAAAGCATTAAGCTTGTGCTCCTGCCGCTGGTATGTAGGCCACGTTTCGCTTCCATATAGCAGAACGGAGAGCACACAGGACTCATATACGCGCACCTTTATTTTGAGAGAAAGGTGGCTGTTGTTCCAGACGCGAGACTGAAGCCGCCCAAAGGTTGTTGAGGCACGACCGATCCTGGTATTCAGTTCAGCATCAAGGGTGTTGTTTGCTGTCAAGGTTGAGCCGAGGTAGGTGAATTTCTCGACAGCCGACAGCACTGTGCCATTGATGGTGACGTGAGGGGAAGCAGGAACGTTCTGAGCCATCACCACTGTCTTCTTGAGGCTTATGGTAAGTCCGAACTCTGTGCAGGCAGCAGCAAAAGAATTGCACATCTCCTGAATTTCTTGTTCAGTGTGAGCCACGAAGGCAGCGTCATCTGCGTAAAGCAACTCGCCCACAAGGACGCGTTTCACTCTGGTTCTGGCCCTCAGACGAGCCAAGCTGAAGAAGTTGCCATCATACCTAGTGTGCAGCAGAACCCCAACCGGATCAGGAAACGCCCGTCGCAGCACAGCCGAGAAATAGATGCCAAACAAGGTGGGAGCGAGGACACACCCCTGCTTTACTCCACAGCAGACATCAAACTCATTTGAGCGAGCATAAGAGCATAAATTAAAAACAGTTTCTCCTGTTGCTCCCAGTTCCCTGAACAATTTGTTCCTTTGATGAGAATACCTCCTGCACTGCACTAATACATGCATCACTGTTTCCTTGTCTCCACATTCACACTGTCCATCAGGATGTTTACCAATCAGAGCCAGCCCACTCCTCAGCCCACAATGCCCAAACCTCAATCTAGATAAGACTACTGCATCTCTTCTCTGACATCTATAATTACATCTGTCTTTCTCTACCATTCTTTGTACTGAATAATAAGTTCTCCCATTCCTTTCACAATCCCATGACCTTTGCCACATTTCTTTTACTGACCTATTTATTATTTCTGTATAATCTGGTAACCCATACTGCAAATTAAATTGAACTCTTTCCTCCTGCACTGCTTTCTTTGCCACCTCATCCGCCTCCTCATTACCCTCCACACCCATGTGTGCCGGAACCCACAAAAACCCCACCTCATTCCCTGCTTTGTGAATTCTATACAACACCTGCAAAATTTCCACAAGTAAGTCAGGTCTGGACTTAGTTTTTATATTTTTAATTGTATTTAGGGTTGCAGCTGAATCACTACATATGACAGAATATTCTCGTTTGTTATCTTCTACCCACCTTACTGCCCATAAAACTGCTACCAAGTCTGCAGTAAATACTGACAAATGATCAGGAATCCTACAGCCTTTTTTATAAAATGCCACTAATTGGCACAGGTGTGCAAATTTAACTCCTTCTGTTCCAAGGCCTTCCAAGGCCGCAATATCATGATTCACCAGCAGGGGTCATTAAATTAACTTCAACGTAAATGTCACAAATGGCTCCTACACACCGGCCCTCTTATTGCTACCGGCTAAATAGGTACAATAATAAAAAAAATAAAAATAAAAAATTTTTTGGAGCCATATCACAATATACACAGTAACGATATAAATCTGTCAAATCATCAATAATCAGAATTGTTCACGCATACAAACATGAATATTTCATTTGAAACATGTCAAGTTTCTTTCAGTTCATACGTGACAATATTAATTTCGATTCACATTAAAAGTCCTTCAATGCAATAGCAATGCAATCAATGCTCCTTTGTTAGAGTCCTTCTTGTCCAGTGTGTAACATAAAGGGTTCATTATGCCACAAGAGACATTGTGTGTTCAAAAAAGTTCATTTCAGTGTGTATGTGAGTATTTATGTGCATGTACGTACGCATGTGTGCACGTTGCAAGAAATTCCTTGCTCGAATAGTCCATAGTCCATTGTGCGCGTGTAAAGATCAGTATACATGTCAGTTCCTACAAGGTAAAGTAAACATTACATATACATTGGACATTCATATCCACATGTCATTTTCCAACAATAAGCAAACCTTTGTAATCGGTCTGTCTATAACACTTGTCTTTGTTTTTAAGGTCAAGCTACGAACGATCCCTTTTGAATCTTTCTTAGTGTCAACGACTCTCCCCAACATCCAAGATCCCCTAGGGGCAGTAGGGTCTGCAATTAACACAATGTCACCATTTGCATAGTTTCTTTTCTCTTTAAGCCATTTTTGTCTTTCTTGTAGGTTTGGAAGATACTCTCTAACCCATCTTTTCCAAAACATATCAGCTAAGTATTGCACTTGCTTCCATCTGCGTCTACTATACACATCTGATTTCTGAAATAAGCCGGGCGGTAATGTGGGTTGTCCTTTGAGAAGTAAAAGGTGGTTGGGTGTTAAAGGTTCGAGGTCATTTGGACTATCTGGGTTTGAGGTAAGTGGGCGACTATTCATTATGGCTTCTACCTCACAGATAAAAGTGTGAAGGGATTCGTCGTCTACTATTTGATCCTTTGTTAGTGATAGAAGTATTAGTTTGACCTGTTTTATTAACCTCTCCCATACTCCTCCAAAGTGTGAAGAGGCAGGGGGGTTGTAAGTCCATTCTATGCCCTTTTGTTGCAGAGCAACTTGGAGTTTTTTGCTTTGGTTCCATTCCTTTATGGCATTCTTTAGTTCACGATCAGCTGAAGTCAGGTTAGTTCCATTGTCAGATCTTATTTGCCGTACTTGCCCTCGTCTGCTTATAAATCTGCGGAAAGTGTTGATACATGAATCAGTGTCAAGTGAATTGGCTATTTCCAAATGTACTGCTCGAGTTGTGAAACATGTAAAAATTACGCCGTATCTTTTCACTTCACTGCGTCCTCTTTTTACTATAATTGGACCGAAGAAGTCTGCACCAACAAAGCTAAATGGTGGTAAATCTGGTGTTATTCTTTCTTTTGGCAAATCTGCCATTTTTTGTTCTCCTAAATTTGAATGTAGGCGTCTACAGAACACACACTCAGACCGTATTTTTCTAGCAAGGGAAATTGCTGCTGGAATCCAGTATTGCTGTCGCAATGCTGGCCAACATATGGTTCCTTCCACAGTGACCTAGTTGTTCATGAATGTGTTTCAACACCAGTTTGGACACATGATGGTGTTTTGGAAAAATCATAGGATGTTTTCGATCCTCTGGCATAGCCATTCTGCTTAATCTCCCTCCTGTACGAAGTAATCCATCTTGTAGAATAGATTTCTAGATGTTCGATTTCTTCTGGAAATGCCTCCATTTGAGTAAAGCGTACAATTGCATTTTCTGCCTTTTTCACATCTTCTAAAGTAATCTGTTGTACATTCATGCATTTTTTGACTGCTTGCATTTTTCTTTCCATCAGACATTATTTCTCTGCATTGGAGTTCTTGATACTCATGTTGGTAATTATTTCCTTTCTTTTCAGACTTAATTGCAAGAGAACGTCTTTTAGCTTAAGTAGCCATGCTACTGCTCTGGTTAGATTATTCCAATTTGAGTGATATTGTATGAATGTGTGAGTAGGATTTTGTTCTTCCTTTACAAATAAGTTCATGATAAGAACATCCTTCTTCACTTCCACATCATCATCATCTTCTTCTTCTTCATGTGTTTGTATGGCGATGTCAGAATTTGTCCATTCAGTTTCTTGACATTTGAGAAATTCTGGACCATTCAGCCAAACCTTTGAATTCAGAAGAGCACTGGCCTTGAGACCACGAGATGCATAATCTGCTGGATTTTGTTTAGTGTTTATATATCTCCATTGTTTTACTTTGCTCATTTCTCTGATGGTGTTCACTCTATTAGCCACGAATGTTTTAAATCTTTTGTTCTCATTCTGAATGTACTTCAATGTTGATGTACTATCAGTCCAGAAAATGGAGTTCTCGAGAGCAAGTTGTAACTCTGCTTTGATCAGTCTATCCATTCGTACTGCGAGTACTGCTGCAGTGAGTTCCATTCTTGGCATTGTAGTTTGTTTCAGTGGTGCAACTCGTGATTTCCCCATTATAAATGAGGTGTGCACTTCATGTTCTAAATTTGTGAGACGAAGGTACGTGACACAGCCATAACCACTTTCGGACGCATCACTAAAGTGGTGTAGTTCTGCAGATGTTATCGGATCAAAGCCCTTTGGCTTGAGACATCTGTTGACACTGAGCTCTCTAATGCAACTTAGACCTGCCGTCCATTCATGCTACAGCTGTATGTAGGGGTCTGGTAAGG